CATCGGTGCTTGCCACTTCCGCACTTGCCGCTTCTTCTCTGCATGCATGAGGTCTTTCTCCCGCACTTCAGCAACTGCCTTCGTGATCAGATCGCGCCATGCACGCTGATCAACCGCCTTCGATTCCCATGATCTGCAATCAAGATTGGAACGTGTGAGGCTCACTTTAATCATGTCCTGGTAACGTAACTTTGGTTTCCCCGCATGCTGCCTCCCAATACTCAGCTGACCATATAATAGCTGCTTCGGTATCCGCGTCGAATCCATATGGCTCATATGACCGATCCACCTCAGGTGTCTCAATAAAAGTGTGCAGTCCGCTGCATACATCCCACTTCGGCGCAACACTTCCGTGTCTGCAACTCTGTCGCCCTAGCCGATGCGCGAAATCCGTCGAAGACACTGCTGATGGAACCGCTCGAGATATCGCACATCCCGACGTTTCACTGCCGTATGGAAGAACGGACAGCACCATGGATTTGTACACCATCAGCTTCGTGCCAATGGTAAGCTGATGGTTATTCTACACTCAGTACTCAAGCTTCCCGAATGCCGCCGCTGCCTTCGACACGCGGATACGAAGCTCACTGCGTAGCTGCTGATCAGTCGACATCACACTCCCAAGGTAGCAAAAGCGGGAGGTGGTTTCTAATACTTCAGCACCAATACTGATTCACGGCAATATTGAAGATTGCACCTCGCAGATAGGTATAAGCCCCTATAAATAGTTAATAAATAAACGGTTTATTCCTCGACTGTAGGAGGCATAGCCCAACTGAGTGGCCTGATCAATCTGTACAACGAGATAAAATAGTTAATTGCGCTACTTTTGTATAACGAATCGCACGGGTTTTTGAAGTGATGGTCAGTTTGAAGGTATCAAAGAGATTAAGGAACTGGGAACAAAAATAGATGCAGAGGAAACCAAAATTTCAAGCAATATAATCCGGCCATTCATGGAACTGTCCGCAGGGGACCTGCTTCCATGTGTGGTATTCCCTCGACGGATTTCACCCGCACTTCCATGATGCAACTGACTGTGTGCCGGTGTGCCTCAGCCCGTGCAGACATATAGTTACCGTTAATCTTGTGATATCTGTCCCATATGTGTTGAGACATTCTTCCTCGATCACTGCCAAAGCCACAGCGGCAGCGACAGAATTGGAGTCGAAGCCGAAGGACTATTGAGTGATACTTCCAAATTTTACACTTCAGATTTACAGTAAAACCGCAAGTTGACAAATCAAGGGACTAGATCAGTGGATCCAACTGGCTTACCTGCTGAACGTTCAGGCAATGAAACATAAATGGTCAATTTAGAGATACGGACAGGATATAGAGGTTGTCAATTGCAGAGGTTTTATTGTCGATGTATTTCAATTTGTAAATAATTGTCACTATATTTCATGTTCAACGCTCTCTTCCTGCTATATTTTCTTGCCCCTTTGAATAAGTTCCTCCCCTGAGTCGATCGGTGCAAGAAGAGCTACCCGTTTCTGATAGTGCACGCACATGCTATGACTGTTGCTATTTCTTTTCACCCTGCAGGTGGCTTCCGTTGCATGAACGTTCGAAACGCCCTTCTGTGTTTATTGTCTATGATTCACACGGAGCCACAAGTGCTATGGCCACACAAACATTTTCAATGCATCATTTGCCCTTCGGAAATGTTCACCTGAAACGTCATGAATCCCCTCAATCCAGTGAAATCTGTTCCTTTTTACAAATAGTATTCATTAATGGTGCAATTTTGCTTTCTGTACCAGCCAGAATAAGTTTTCGGATTAATACAAAAAGAGGAAATTTGTAGAACTGGTCGACTGATCATTGCATCCGAGAGTTCTATCTTTGAAAGAAATTAAGGCACTCAGTTATGAAGCATGAAATGTTACTTCGTACATATAGAAGAAATTACGCAAGAAAATGTGAACTGATCTCTGCTACACACAAAAATCAGTTATCACCAAGAGGGTGGAATTCCCATGTACACACATAGGATGATTAACCAGGAGTAAATTTCACGTGAAGAGTTCAGATCAAATGCCTCGTCGCTGCTACTTCCAACTATGTTATTAATTTCACCTGATTTTTTGATAAAAGTGGTTAGCGTACAGGTCATTGACGGTGCAAATGTTAATTCCATCCATTATCTCTTGTTTCGCTCTGTGCCAGGATCTTTGCATTTGATTCAATCACAGCTGTGCCCTTCCTCATTCAAATGCGGTAAGACCAGTTATGATATATAGTGACTGCTTCTGTGGATTTCAAATTTTCCATTTGGTTTGCACAGAGATCTACTAGTGGCGCGGTTGATTTGGGTGGCACTATCAAATAGTGATGTTTAATGAGTCCGGCGTTCATCGCAGCTATCTTCTGCACCCACTGCAGAGTAATCAGTTTGTTGGTCGTTGGTGCAAAATAGGTAGTTGCAGCTTCATGGTGCAGACATCTTCAGATGGAATTGTGTGAGCGTCATTTGCGTTGAAACGAACTGAACAGCCGGTTGGTATATGTGACAGGCAATGTTTCGCTTTTAATACAACTTTTCCGACTTGGGCGTTTAGATCGTCAGTCAACACCACAGTATCCGTGCTTCTTCTGTAACGAAGGAGATCGTGAAGTTGATGATAGAAATTATTTTTCACCGAATCAGTGCTACAGTTTGAAGGGGCGTAGGCCACAATGACAAACCGGCACCGTTTGTCCCCGCGCGACTTCGTAGCATGGAACAAACCAGCTAATCTAACGGCGCACATCCGACTGTTGACTGGGATCCAATAGATCACGGCAGCTTCAGCCCGGGAACTCAAAACAATGCCGACGCCAGCTTGACCCGCATTTGAAGCTGCATCATCGCCAGACAGGCGCAATGAGAATGTGCCGCCAGTGTCACATGTGGGGGATCGCAAGGTAACCACGGAATTCGATTCCTGCAGGCGGGTTTCCGATAAACACCAAATATCGACCCATAGGGTCTCGAGTGTGCGGGCAAGTGCAGCCTGTTGGCCAATCTGAAGCAAAGTACGCACGTTGAGACATGCCAGCCTTAACGAGACTCGAGGACTCCAAGAGAAAACGGATGAACTGACGTTGTCCGCCTGGTTGAACGTGGACTTGTCGACTGGATTGGAGCGACGTCCTGCGACTGCGTGTGAGTTGCAACTAGGAGACAAGCGACTACCGAAGCAAGATGGGGCAGGGCCGAGAATTGGAGGATTGAAAATAGGGGATAAAAGTAAAGTTGAAGCGGGACGATAAGGATGAAAAGGCGCAATAAGGGGGATAAGAAGACGGGAAGGCGTGAGCAGTACCGTCCAAACCCCTTTCCACCCTGTTCGATGCAGCAGATAGAGCACCGTTGATTATCCTCTGCGACGGTCAGAGTATCAAGAAATATTTAGAAGAATGGCTCATTGTATTGCGTGAGCAGAATACTGTCAGGTTGCCCAGACCTAGACAGGAGAACGATTAGGGTTCTCAACCAAAGCCTTTGGTTCAAAAGCCTTACCACAAGGCCGCGGGTTTTGACACTGGACTACAGAGAGCCTGATTTATAGAGTAAGGGGCCACCCTCACTCGAAACCCCAACTTGGAGAGCCAGGAGGATGAGTTTGTCTGGCATCTAACCATTGACCAATCTGGTATGAGTGACTCTGAAGATGCGAAAAAGCACCACCTAGCATAGCTCAATGGATAACTGAGGCACACAAACCATCGTACCATGTTAAGGTCCAATCTCGTCGCGATGGTCTTCGAGTACGAATACCATGCTGATGTAGATGATGAGTTATGGAGTATCATTTTCAACACCAGAAGAATAGGGTCGATGGTACGGGGAGCGTCGCTCTGGCTTAACAACAGCAGTTCGTGTCGAATCCCGTCGCTGTCGGAAGTTGAAGTATTAGAAGCTCATGTGGATTCAAGAGTCCAACTAATCAATAGAAGTGCATCAGACTGCTTCAGTCACCTTGCGCAACATTTCAAGTAATGTCCAAATCGACGAACCCGATGAGACTCAAACGTCCACATCCCTCAACATCTATTCCGCTCACTGATTTTCTCGTCACACAGGCGTATCGGATAGGCTCTTCCTAGTTTTACTTGTCTGCTCCATCACATACAGACTTTTGCAATACTTTAACCACTCCTGCCGCCAATGTCCGGCAGTTCACTTCAGATGCCGCACATAAAGAGCCGGCGTCAGTAGCCCAATGATGCGTCCCAATAGGACAAAACGTCCATCTAGTGCCTCCATGGATGTGGGGCTGAATTTAGGTGAGACGAATCTTCTCAAAAACATAATAAATCCCCTCACTAATCACTAATGGCGTACTAGAATGTTTACTTCTGCTAGTGATGTTAGCGCTGCAAAGTACGGTGTACCTGCATAATCAAGATTTTCCGTTGTACGACATATGACAGAAGGATCCGACAATCGCCGGTTGGATAGCCAAAGAACCTCCCGGTGGTGCCAGCTGAGTGGGTCGGGCTTACCCGTTCCAGGAAATTGTTCGGCGGCAGTGTTAAGGAAGTGGTGGGCTTTCACCTGGAAGACGTTCTCCTTATAAAAAGCCACAAATGTCCGTTTAACAACTCTGTGACGTGGCGGTTGTGACTCACCACCAACTAAAGTCACCGCCTCTTGCTTATTCGCACAGTCGTTTCAAATTCACGAATGCCAAACATCCCTTTAGGACCGGCGACACGTTCAAACGCAAACAAAGGAACAGGAAAAAAAGTTACAAGGCTAAGCAACACAATTACACAAGCCTAGGCGCACAAATACATACATTCAGATATGAACTTATATGACAAGTCTATTATACTACTGTAGATTCCTTGATCATTTGTTACACTCTTACCACGATCATGGCTGCGCAGGTGTGCCTCGCTTAGTCCAGAATAAACAATGTAGTTATTTACTCCGTGAACGGATGTAAGAGCACCTGGATACAGCCCATCCGGTAGACACAAACCCCGACTCGCATAATGACGCCACGGCATGAGGAACGATTTTTATTGTGCAGTGCTGGAACACTAAAGCAGAGCAAAGAATTGAACAGATTATGAAAATAAACGAAAGATCCCGGCTAGATTGTCCTAGACGATGGATAAAACTTCGACACAAACAGTGATCTGATAGAGGAATGAACAGGAAGATGGGAATTGTTTGTGACACTCCGAGCTGGTATGGGTCACTTTGTTGCATAAAGCAGGTTTGAAATAAACAAAGTAAATGGTAGGAAAGATATGGAGGGATCAAAACACAAAATGGAAAGACGAAAGGTGATCCGACAGCGGGCAAACCATGCATTTGGATCCTCTACTTTGAAGCCGCTGGGCCGAGTAGTTGAGACAAAATGAGCATTCCAACGTCCGCATTGTACCAATAACTAGTATGAGACGTTAGCACAGATAAATACCAGTTTTCATAGCGAGATGCGCGCAACTGATAGTCCAACCGGTGTTCTAATTGAGGAGAATCCTCATGGATGAGTTGTTCACCCGATGGAATGTTGATTTCTGAGATTTCAGTGGCGGACTCGGTTAGGCTCCGGGACCTCCCGAAATCGTTAGATTTTGGCTGTGGAGACGCCTGCGGTGGATCGAAGAAGTTCCCGCTGCTCGCCCCGTTGAGTACACTATCAGCTGAATCCGCCCGGCTAGCTATAGTGTGCTTCGACTGCTCAGCTGGCTGAAGGGAGGTGGGCTCTGCATCGACGGCAGATCGAGAGAAGAACCCAAGAACTAGACCTGAATAGCAAAACCGCAATGATTGATGAAAGCTAATGTAAGAAGACACTAGCGCATTCGGGACGCAAAGTACATGCTGAAGTTAAATAATGTATTACAAGGAAGACATTGGCGCGCTATTCAGAAATTTCCAAGATTTATAGAAGATGAAACCATAAACTAAAGAGTGTAACAGCGAGCAAAAGGATGTAAGGAGCATTTGAGCAGAAGGTGAAGCAATAAGACTTAAATAAGAAAAAGACCGAGTCAAACCTGAAACAAACCGGAAGGGTAGAGGTTCGAGCGCTGAGATACCATACTACACGGAAAATACTTTCCGTCAAGTGTACATTGGGAATTACAAATAAGGACGATATATTTGGCTAACTCAGCGTGCTAACAAATAGACGACTATAGGAGGTAAACGTGCGAAGAGGCGCTTCCATTTAGTTATAGATATATCAAGTCAGCGCTGCCTCCTTTCAAGAATCGGGTTATGCTTGTCTCTTATTGAAGGTTTACTTTACCCATAACTGCACGTCTGTGAAGTAGTATTCTAGATGTGGAGCAAATACACAGGTGTGCACAAAGTAGGTATTCATTGGAAGGAACCGATGATAGGTCCAAGATAACGAAGAACATCTGTTCAAGACCAAAGGTTACGGGAAAATGCACAAATCAACATGCGTTGCATCGGGCAGACGCACGGTGGGTCAAGCGCCCTTGTCACAAGTCAAAAATTGCAAACAGTCTTACGTATATGAAGCCTCAGTAAAATGCACTGGGACCGTTGCACAGAGTAACGTGTTTGAATTACTTTGAGGATACAGTGTTCGTCACAATCCAAGGAGACCGGTAAAAGCATATTATCGAGTGCTTGAGATATCCGCCAAGAGACAGTTCGGCCCAGATAACCAACCAAGACCAAATGGGAATAGAACAATAATAAGACGCATGTTGTAAGATGGTACCATTTCGTGCCTTCTGCTCAATTGCAAACGAGCAACATTTCAAATGATAACGTGATGAAAACAATAAGTTGAAATCGGTAAGCCACATGCAAGGGAAGTACCCGGTGTCTATAAGTTGAGGATGTACGACAAACCCTAAGAGAGTTTGTGTGTAACAAATAGCAGCTTCTGGAAGCATTGTTGGACGTAGCTAGTTTAAGGCCATTGCCTCGGCAAACTTGAGGATTCTGATGTTTATGGTACGATAGATGACAGCAAGTCGACCTGATGATTCGTTTCAATCAGAGGCTTCGCAACCGAGGAGGTAAGTATCTTGTTTGTCGACGCAGTTCCCGTTTGTTGCTACCTTGTCATGGTACCGATACGCTTCGGAATGTGCTCTCCAATCCGCTCACCCAACAGTTTGTTCTGCCGAGGTAACTGCCGCCACAGTTACAAAGGAATCCGTAGATACAATGAGTTGTGGCGGAGACCAACTTAGTAAGTTTGAATGGGGCAGTGGCAAATTCTTAGTTGCTCAGAGAGGGAAAAGAATTTGGCAGCATTGAATGCTTGTTTTTCTGCAACTGCTCGTCAAAGGTGATGTTGTAGCTAAGCAGGTAGAACGACACACAGCAGTTGCACTGCGACACCAATTAAAAGTAAAAATAAACAAGGGAATGACTGCAGCAGAGTACTGAGTTCGTGACTGAGCCAAACCCGAGAGGATTTTCACTCACCCGTGTAGTTGATGCCGATGCAATGTAGGGAAACTAGGCGCAACAACGTTGACACAACTTCTAGGTCAGTCCACTCATACCGTTCCTCTACGTCAGCAACTGAGCACCACTGGATTACACCGACCTAGATGCAATAACAGCCGACTAACAGGCAAACAAAGGACGTAGCTAACAAAAAACTAACTGCGGCACCAGACGGCATGTTACCAATCGCCAACGGGAAGGCATTGCTGTAGCTCATTCGCTGCTCCCCGAAGATATGAGTAGTACTTCGCAAGTGCCCGCAGTTAAAAATGACTAATCTTTGGATAGTTGTTACAACACTCAGCAGCCATGCTTCTGATTCACAAGTAATACTGACAACTTTGTAGTGTTGCATCAGATAAAATGGATTAGAAAGCTGTTAAATCGCAGCCTTCCTAAATAACAGACCCATGTGGATATGCGCAGTGATCCCTTGGGCTATACAGTTGTTTAAAAACAGATCGTCAGACAACCTCGGTGGTAGCGAAAAGCTTGCATTTCGGAGGTGTTAAGCTCCTGCTGCAGCAGCGGTATTCTCCGTGTATACCACATTTGACGAAATGTTCCTCGTACCCATTTCCGAGGCGCACAAAGATGGTATCCGAAAAATTACTTGGGCTTTGCAATTTGCTATGCCGGAAGGGATAAAACAGATAGCAACAAGCGCATTTAGACGTCATCATTGTCCCCGGACTCATTAGTCACGCGTACTTACCGTCGTGACACGTGCATACGAGCTGAAACAGGCTCAAAGGATCGAGGGAGAGCAAGGGGTAAGTCCCTTATCAAAGCTAACCACCGCCATGAAAACATGTCATTCACCACTCAGCCAAGTCCGTATGCAAAAAGTGAAGACAATGGGGGAATTAGTGCGTCATGATGGTAAGGATACAGTCAAAGTGTCAAGAGTTGTATCACAACCTACTTGTAAGAGACACACGCGATGCTTCGGAGGAGTTACATCTGGGTATGAGGGTTGATGTATTTGTACAATGTTTCTGAAGAAACCGGTGAGGAGACAAGGGACCTCCGGGGACCTGATAAAGGAAAGAAAAAGATGGATATCCGTGAAGACACAGTATTTGTATAGAGTTGGCTACAAAATAGACGAATAAAGATAGTAAATGTTGGCACAGATGTTCAAAGGGTCAAACTGAATGTAATAAGTTTGGAGCACAAAGAATTGAAGGTAAAAGCATACCGGCATCTACCAGTGAGTATCAGCTATCCACAGACCTCGCTCATCAAAGCCAGCCCCCAAAATTTCTTCACAAAATTATGACTCGTAGATAGGGCAGCAAGGTACCACGCATGGGTTTATAAAATCTTACAAGCTAAGATTTCTTTCAGTGAATTAGACCCCAGCCCTCACGTCCTACCAAATCGACCAATTGGTGACATTCTCAAAGTTCGTACACGCAGAACTATGAGCCTGTAGCGTACCTCCTAAACACAGGATCTGATATCCATGATGACGAGTGCATCGCCGATTTTTAATAGGATGCCAGTGCACCGAGTTACACTGAAAGTATCGTGCTTGAGAAAATGCAACAGAATATCTACCTGTGACTTAATTGAATGCAGGCTTCCTGGAAGGAAGACAAATGGTAGCTGGAAGCAGTGCCTTCAATGTTTAATCGCGCCTTTCCATTAAAAAGAGCCACAAAGTGGATGACAAAAAAGTGGTTTGGAGATAGATGCAGACGTGTGACGAAAATAATGTTTTTTCGAGCCGTTGTTAATGAAACGTTGCGAAAGGGCATCCAAAATGCTTTAAAACTGTTTTCATTATAATGACGCAGATGAAAATGCGTTTGTTTCGAGAAGTGATATCCCAAACAGTTAGAAAACGGAGCATACATCAGTATTACAGATGAGTTGAAATAGCACGCAACGGAATCGGTTTGGGTTGATGGCTACATAAAAATTAAGGGGGTGCTACGATTTTTTGATCGTATGCACAGCACTACTACTGTATCATTAGTACAGCTAACGAACATCGGTGCTTACATCGAGGCTCCGATAACTACCAGAGGAAAAATTCCTATGGACCAAAAATAGTGAGATTGCACTAGCTGCATAATGTGGGTTGGCTCAAATGTCCCAGTCCAGCTGAGGAAGTGGTCGAAGTCTGGTCAGACGTTTCAGCATACAATGTATCCTTCCAGCTGTGCTAAATTCCCCCATTCTCGGAGACACAAGAATTAAAACAATCGGGAAACAAGAATGTTAGCCTAGATTCATCCGTCAGTGTCGACTAAAGCGGATAGAGAGAATGACAGTAGAAACTGAGGTGGGGCAAGAAAACGGTCGTCGAAACAGGCTACCCAACCAGGTTAAAGCATCCGAACAACAAGTAAACTTCAGAGGAGTACATCAAAACAAATGGGACATGTGGGACTTCACACAGTCAGCGATTCATTGAAGCGGCGCCACGCTACAAAGCACTGGATTATCAAGTACATGAGAAGAAGATGTAGAGTAAGGAACGGCCATTGGGAAGAGCAGTGTATGGCATCACCGCTTCGGTTGATGTCGGGAAGAAAACCTCAGTGAGAAAGGTAAACATTAGGGGAGGGGACGCATGGGTGGCCAGTCCCTGAAACTATCAGCATGGATGCAGGGTTGAGCAGTTGGGACAGAATTTCAACCTTTAGCAGCGTCTTTCGATGGACCAGCCGAGTCCGCTTTCAGCAATAGTGTTGGTTAGGAAAATAACGAGCAACATCACGCCTGACGGAATATCAACCACTAGATGCAAGCAAGCGAACATAGAAGGAACATTGGTTTTGTGATTGTGCAGCCAACGTGTAGAGAATGCAAAGACAAGGAATTCCATCGGTGGCGTCCCAAGTGTCACCGATATCCACGAGATTACAAGTGGTGCGACACTGATGTTCGCTATTTGATGGCTGGTCAAAAACGATATGGTGATGCACAAAATTCTGATAAAATGCAACTAAGTGGGTTGGACAAAGTTCCTCGAGGGCTAGTCGAACAAAAAACGGTAGTGTTTTACCACTCTTGTCTCAGTACATATGCACATAGGCAATTAGATGTCTCTCGTCTCTTACCAGCCGGATCTCTATAGTTTCACTGAGGCCAGTCATTGTCATCGTACTGAAGTGAGACGCTGCAGACGAATCTATCACGCTTAGAAATCCGGATAGTAGTTGATGGACTTCAACAGAGAATGATATTGCGAAGACGATGCAGAGCAAAATGTGGCTATGCCCCACAGCTGCATGGTAAATACTGGGTTTGAGTTCACCTTACGCGAAGAGAGGGATAAATGGGAGCCAATCATCTCTCGTAGAATATGGGATTGGAAGCCAACCGAATCGGTAAAGTTGAACGTAGCACATAATTAATTCCAAGTGTTCCAGGAGATCTGTAACGATCTGAAATAGTTGTGCACAGTGCTCTTATCTGCACTTATAACCCAGTGTGATAGGTGCTCACCAGGTAGGTTACTAATGAGTGTAATGCAAGTGTACTGAAGTCAAAATTTAGTGTCAGATTGAACACCTAACGTTCGGCGTAGGACGAAGCATTGGATAATGTGAGTGATGAGCAGAAATTCGCTCAACACATCAACAGCTAGCAGGTCACCTAAATGGAACCAGGTTAGTGCGAAAGAGCGCATGAAGTGCAGGGCAACAAATGGTCCTCCACAAGAGAACGATAATGCAGCTAAAAAAATTTTAGCAAAAGAACAAGGCCAATGACATGAGAAACTTCAACTGAAGATCAAAAGAGAGGGATCGCCTAATGTCTAGTGGGATACATGCGTCCGTTGAAGGTTAAGTTGCGATTGGGAATCGTAGTGGAAAATAATGGCCAGTAGGTACTTGCCTACAGAGGTTCACAGTAAAAAGCCGAAAGTAATTTGAGGCTGAACCTTTCAGTAATGAAAGAGGAACAGCTAACTGATCAGAATAGTAAGTGGGAATGCAAAATTCATGAAATAAACGGCGATAAATCTAGTGTCAACCGGTTCAGCGGGTATACATTACAAGCAGTGTAAGAAAAAATGTTAAGACATGTCGGCTCACGGGGTCTGGTTGCCGGCGCCTGGGAATTTCCCGACCAGAGATCGTAACCAGTGGAAGGTCATCATAATCCGGCTTGCTTGCGGCATCCGCCCTATGGATAATTGACGGCTGTACAAAAGAATAGTGTTTCAGCACTAGCGGCTCTAAGCGATAGGCCTGTGACATTTGGAGAAGCAAAAATGAGGGCAGTAGTATGTGATAGGTGGATAAATAAACGGTGTGATAATGATGGATTGATGAGTGCCCAACGCTATGAAATAACCTTGATAGGCGACACCACTAATAGTAGGCCGCTGATACCGAATATTCGATGTAAGTGACCAATTGTACAAAGACTAGCAGTCGGAATGGGGAAAAGGCGGAGCCCTCGGCGTTGGATAACGAACATTTCCAAAGAGAGAGCAAGAACAAACTGTTCAAAGACTGAAGTGGCATTTGGTGTACCCGCTGTGTGGTTGGATTGCGACTCGGAATCACGATCCAGACTTCGGTCCTCTTTGAAGTAGACCTCTGTCATTACGAGGAGCAACACCGAACCACCAATGTTCAAAGATCAGTTCGTCAGGGGGCGTATGGATTAAGACAAAACATGCAGCAGAAAAAGGTTATGAGAAACTGCTAATCTGTATGACACAATCCTAGCTTAGAAACCTATATGGAAATCAGTTGTTGGCGAAAAAACAAATCTACTAATAGAACGCAAGAGTAAAAACAATCAACCGAAGTAATCCTTGTGAGCAACTCTCACTAGACAACTCCGTCAGTTAGAACAGCCAGGTAAAAAACAGCTGTGACCTATTCTTGGTTGAAGGGGATCGACTGGATGAAGTGGTATACGCTCCAACTATCGGGAGAGATCTGTCTCCCGAAATAAAAGGCTGCTGAAGGGAGTAAAACATGAGTAATGTCTGTTAAAAAGTTATGCTAACTAGAGATGCACAGCCAAAACAGGGTGTAAGCAATTCATTTTGCTAGGAATCCCATAAGTTATTTACGGGTATGGAAACGTATAGCCGTAATCGGCCTCTATTCCTAGTGAAAATGGGCCAAATCAGTGTCCAATGCACGCTAAACTGATCCCTAATTCCCGGAATAGCAATGACAGTGCTTCTGACAGGGACGCAGCCACGGGAACTGGAAGCACTAATGTAAGTTCTCCTATTTAAGGAGTCTAAAGCGGGGCGATCCAGAAGGAGTGAAGGAAAATGGTGCGAGTGGATAGATCAGAAAAATGGTATACATCACTGCAATCTCCACTATTGGACAATGGAGTTCTGTGGAAAGTCAGGCCCCAGCTGCAAAACAAAAAAAAACAGGGGCTGTCCAGGATGCTAAAAGGTGGGGTGAAAGTCTGGGTGTAAAATGCGACAGAAATACAGGCAAATGACAAAATATGGCGAACAGCACGGATAATAGAAAACGGCATACCACCGGATCTGCGGGGTGATAGATGTTGAAAATACGGGGACATAAACGGCGTGGAAGGATATTGTCTTGTGTGATGTGGTTGCCAGGTCGAATGCCACGAAGTGCCAAAAAGACGGACAACGGAGATCCCAAGCAGAAGAAGCTCTGGAGCTGGCAAGGCAAGACACAATCAGAAATGAGCAGTTAGAGCACTGTTGCAAATTGTCAATAACAAATGGTAAAACCAAAGTATGCACAATATACGGCAGCCAAAAAATAACAGGCCTGTCAAACATCTGCGCGGTGTACGAATGAGTGCTACTGCATTTAGCTGCATGTACGAAAAGCGAAGCGACTGCATGCGTGCAGACAGCCGTGGAACCAGTTTTATTAGATTCATGAGTTAAGCCAGTGAGACTAACATAAAGAGATGGAGAACAATGCGGTTGATAGGCTATTCCGCGAATATGTAATGACATACTGTGAACAGCATTCGGCAGTGATCAAATCAGCAATGAGAACGTATACTAAAACGTTTAAAGCTACAGCATTTAGGAAAGAAACGAACTTCACCAGTGGCCCAAAAATACAGATTTATATCGGTGAAATTTGGCGAATATGTGTATCAAATAAGCGGCTGATCAAACATTCGAATTTACACACACATTGGCTCATGTATGAGCTAGCCCCTGATAGAATCAGCTTCCCGCGAAGTCGAGAAATAATGTAGCATGTAGTTAATTATTTACATAACGAGATGCTCATGTGGTAGATGGGAATAGGTGAGATATAACGCAGACCACCAATCATAAGCGACCAGGTGTAAATAACAATAAAGTACAAGATATAGCGACGTTGCAGTGCGCAACTGAAACACAGTATTAATGACCGAGGTTCGATGATTGGATTGCCAGCACTAAGGCTGAGCGCATTGAAAACTGACAACCGGTAGCCATTCTACGATGCAGTAACAGCGTTCCAGTGCATCGTAGTGGTGATAGAATATAGACCAGTATGTACGTTATTAAGTGGTGGGAAACACCTCAGCTATCGTGCCGCAATACATGAGAAAGGAAGACGAAACACAGCACGCCAGATGAGCCACCAGTAACCGATGTACATCGGCCCGTAGAACTGGCAAACGGCAATTGTGCCGCAGTTATTATGCATCAGAACTGATATCGTGGTCGGAGGGTAGGTTAAGCGGGGAGGGGGGGACAAAGAAACTGCGCCACAAACGCCATCGAAGTCGGCTCTTCACCATGTAAACTAGTGTATCCAACTAAACGCATTCATCGTCCTTCGGACCCAAGCCCGGCAGCCGGGAGAAACCAAGCGACGCCAAGTTCGAAGTGAGAGACTTCATTCCTTTTGGTCAAATCATCGCTTGGCCTCCCTCCTCACCTACCACCCGAACCCCAAGTGTGCAAACAACACATGTGGCGGGAGTCGGTGTGCTGGCATGCGCAACATGTGATCTAGCTAGATGTGGGTGATATTTTAATTTGCATCAGCGATGGGCATTCTGGTCGTCGGTTTATCCTCTTGAATTCGATTCACTCGACTCTTATCGTGTCTTACGAGATAAAACAAAAGGGTACCTTACCGTTCAGGGACGCATGCATCGGCGCAATGGTCAGCGTAAACCGAGCTGGAGTTAGCAATACTTTTATTTCCTAGCTTTGCTCTAATCGCATACAAACTTGTGAACACTGTCCAACAGATCCCGGCGATTCCCTAGCTTGTAGACGATGAAAGCTGAGCCGAGGTGGAAAGTTGGTGGCACACCTCCCACTTAAGGCTCGCCTTGTTGAAACGAAACAAACCTCCTGGGTCCGACGACCTTCTTACATCTTTGTTGAAAGGTGGTGGTGACTCTTCGTTGAACGGACTTGCTGTTCTGTTTAACACAACTTGGAACACTGAAAAGGTGCGTTCAACCTGGTGACTGTCAACTGCCACGCCCATCTAAATAAAGTAGCAATAGACTTTAGATGAAAATCACTGAGGCAGTAGGCATATTTGCATTGCTTCTCAAGGGGGATCATTCCTCGATGAAATACTGGTCCTCAGGAGAGCAGAATCGTTGAAAGCCAGATGTTTTCCGCCCCGATCGTGGTTCCGACGAACATAGATTCACTCTCCGTCAAGATTTAGAGCAGAGATACATTTGCAGACGACCGACTATGATGGTATTCCTTGACGTAACTAGCTTGTGGCATGTCCATGGAGTGCCAGCTAAAATCATTTCTTTTCCGAAATCTCTCCAACGTGATTCCGGAGGTTGACTAATGGTGTACGGTAAGCCGGCTCCTGTGTTCCGTAAGACAAGCGGGATCGTCAAGGTTGTACGATATCCTCATTACTCTTCAACTTGTGATCGAAATGACTTTGTTCTTTCAGACCATTCCGGAGTGGAAGTTCCGCTAAGTGACCGATTAAAGTACCTTGAGTATGTGGGCAAAATGACTCTTCTTGTTCCTGGTGTAGTGATTTTACAAGTACCATAGAATAGACTAACGAGTTGTGCTACACGCTTCGGTTCGCTTAACCTGGTAAGCGAGTCAAGTCTGGTGATAACATTACGGAAGAATTTACTTCGCGCATCAGCAAGGCTCGTGTGGCTTTGCAGAAGCTCAACCATATATGGAGACCGCGGTAGGGTGTATAACGATGCGATAAGGCCGGTGTTAATGTATGGATCAGTGACGTTGCTAGTTCGCAGTGAAGACATTAAACGCTTGTCTGTGTCTGGTCACAGGTGCTTGCGGAGTATTGCTCACGTTTGATGGGAACATCCAGTGTGCACTGTTGAGGTAGGCCAGTTGGTTTTTGACAAGATGTCCTCTGGTGCCTCACTCGAGTGTTTGCTTGAGCTCGACTGTTTGCTTTGACTAGATCATGTCCTCCATGTGCCCGCGGATTGGCTTCATCGACGTGCATTGTACGATGAGGCTGCACCAAGTTGGGCGGAACCGCGAGATGGCCAGCCGATGACGTGGTATAGAAGCATGCGGAAACTGACCTCGAGATTTGGGCAGACTGGTGCGTGTCCTCCTAGTGGATGGGATCCTCGGGATGTTCTACCCCTGTGGTTGGAGACCCTATCAGACGTGGCGTAGTCAGTGGGGTTCCCACATTCGCTTTCCTGTATCTAGACGTTAATCCTCATTTTATTCCGGTTAGTTTAACGCACCCTCTTCTTGAGTTCATTTTCATCATATTGTATTTGCATTCGACCGCATTTTCATACCTTTGCTAGAAAGTTATATTCTAGTGATTTGAGTCGTGGGAACTGGATCCATCGCACTTCTGTGTTCAACTGAAGTGAAGAAGAGTTCTTACGTATGACTGTACTGTCTGCCGGATATCCGGATAAGTTTATGCAGATACATAGCAGACTATCCGAAATGAAGCTATCGGTGCACATGGTATAGAAAAATATGTTTACTCGTTCCTGTCGTTCAAAGGTGACCATATCACAAACGGTACCGGGCACAAGCTTATTCCGGCTGTAAGATGCAACTGCCCAATTGCGATTCGTTCAACGCACAAAGCCGATGCCTCCCCACTATCCGAGCAGCTCCGTCTCTCAACAACAATTGGGTGACGCTTACATTAGCAAGATTGACTGTTGACTGGCTCAAGAAGTTGCCGAACACCTTACAAGTTTGTTAGGAGCAACAAGCCAGGTGGATCATGTGGTTAATGAAGAAGGAAAGAAAAGGGAATCAGTAACACCTCGGCACGCCGCACATGCGTTCTGTTGCCGCACGGCCTCCAAAAAACGCGCGTGGATCAGAGATACAACGAGGTCGCTCGCACCCACGCCCGGTCGACCAGAGACCAATGGGTTGCGAGGCGGACGATTCATCCCTTCGGGGACCGGCCAACGGATTATGTGGCAAAGCGGAACCTTGTGCCGATTGGTCAGCATGTGGACCTGTCAAACCCTTTCAAGATACACCACAACCGGAGTCCGAAACAATTGGCCGGTACCGAGGTGTTGCTGACCATGAAGTGCAGTCATGTGCACAACAAACTGAGGCAATCAGATAAATTGCCATAATCCTAATTACTTGATGTCATTTTGTTAATGGACGTTTGTTCCAGTTATGTAAATTTGTTTGTTGCGTTTGCGACTGCGGAGAGCAATGGCAACGATGACATATAACAAGGTTTCTTATTTCTGCACTGATGAAGTAGTTGGACCTTGTGTCAGAGAAGAACCGAGATCAGTGCAGAGAGTGGATAATCAGAAAAGAGGGAATTATCTGTCACAGACAAGAGTCGTGATCAAACGTGAAAACATAGCTTATGTCGGAACGTGCCGATGTAATCACAAGCTGCACCAGTGTGCTCCTTTGGATGTGAAAAGGATAAAACGCTGCTGGAAAATTGAAAGACTAACATTGTCTTTGAATGGAAGTGCGTTTGACGTGAAGTAAGAGCATTCGAGAGAGGGATGTGTCGGCGCACCAGAGTTAGCGTGGATCCGCTTGTTCCCCGATTCACCATCCTTCAAGCAAACGTGGGGGCGAAGTCGACGCAGGTGGGATAATTCCTGCTCTAATTGGCTTACTCTGAAGAAGGGGATAACGAAAACGGAAACAGAAACTGCCAATTAAGAGCTGTAATAGGTTGAGTGAAATAAGAAAACGTGTAGTTGTGTGTACTGGTCAAAAAACTGTGGCGGTTAATTCCAATCATCTCGCAATGCCAACTGAATCACCAGAGCTACCAGCAGTGCTGGTTACGTGCACCCAAGAAAGTGAGACTGAACAGCAGCAGTTGGAGACAGAGACGCTGCTTTTGGGACCAAAGCCCCTTAGAGGGGAGAAAATGAAGGTTCGTGACGTCGTGGTTGGATCTCTGATGAACATTTATCCGATGATATACACCAGCAAATGGCAGCTGCAGCTCAATCGCGAGGTTCTTGGTGGAGATTCGTATCACAACGATGGCGCACCGTGAGTGTCGTAAAATCCCCGAGTCCAGTCGGACATCCAGAACGCGCCTCAGGCACAATTTGCAATCTTACCTGGTACTAAGATCCATTTCTTGCTTGTGGTGCTACTAGGGCATAGATGGGTCGGACAATCAGCGTCTAATTATCAAAACTTGTACTTTTCTGTGTTAAGTACTATCCATTCACTTTGACTGGAGTATCAAAACGCCGTTAATCAATAAAACCAATGATTCTATAACAGACTAACGAGCCAAATAGTCTATGGCCCTAATCTACGTCAATCTGGACCTAATGCCGTTACCAATATTGCAACCGTATGGACCATCAAAAAAGGCAAGGCTGAGCCACTGGAACTTCCGCCGGAATAATACCACACCGTACTCTAATGTAGGTAAAACAACTAACCATTTACTGATCCGCTGAGTTTCAGGAATCCTACTCAGACAGATCCTGCACATCGCATTTTCATCCATCAACCAATTTCGAAAGTCCTGATTCGTTTCTATTACCATCTTCGGCTTATAGCCAGCCACAGTTCTTAGAATTTGAGTACTGGACGTTTTCTGCCATTTCCTAAGCATTCCTGCGGAATATGTTTATGTGGTCCGTTGAAGATTTAGCTGGCCTGGTTTAGCTATGCCAAAAATGCTCAAATACTTCAAGTACAATGTTCACAATCCTTTGAGGATTTAGGAACTGTAGTTCATGGCCTCTCATTGCTGCGCGCGTCCGCCAAATCTTATGGCAAACTGAGCTATGCGGTTTTCCCAGTCTCAAGTAAATATGCTGAGTTCAAGTTTATACGCAATCTCAGTCCTATTATGTCGAAAATTAAGCTCGCGCCAAAATTTTATTCACCATACACACATCCAAAATAAACACTTCCATAACGTGTCGTCGCAATTTTTTGCTTTACCCTTTTATTTATAATCAGAAACCTCATTGTCGTTCTCATTCTACATGTGCTTAGCAAACAAAAATGCATTTTTGGAGAAAGAAAGTCAAAATCCGGCCAATTCACAGTATGCGAGACTCGCGAAATACTACAAATCCCGCGCAAAATTCACTCCAATCATTTCACATGGGCTGGTCCACATAGGTTTGCACTGTAGTTATTTTTCACATAGAAAACTTGTTAAGTTAGTTACGTGATAATCTCGTTTTCAACGCCAGCTATCAACGGTATCTGTGGAGTTTTTTGGCATTTATTCCCGCTTACAGGAGGTGTGTCTTCTAGTAACCAACACCCTACCTCATCCTCAGTAGTTTCACTATTTTATGCTGACAAACATTTTATTGCTATCCTATTGTCACTTAAAGTCACCGCTTTCCTTTCCATGGGTTCACCATAAGTGCAGTATACCATTATGCACAGGAACGGTTCAACAGAATGAACCAGGGCAGCTGGGGGACAACAGGGAAAAGGAGTTTACTCGTTTGCCACAGAAGAAATCTGCACTCAACACTTTCCCACGGTAATCCTATTCCCAATTCTTTCTCCAACAGTACAGTTGAACAACTATGACCCGGGCACTGGAGTGCGGTGGATCCCGTTGCCACGAGTCACGTGGCCAGAATAACAATAAATAAGCACAGTAAGACGACGGGGCTGAATCGAAATAGAATACAAAGAAAATGGAATAAAGAAGGAAGTGCAGGAAAGTAATGGGAATGGGAAATTAATCGCCAAAGGTAAGTAACGAATGTAAGAGCACGAGTTACCGCACGACTGCGCCATATCCGACAGACTGCAAACGCTAATGTGTATCACCCGGAGGCTCCCATCCACGAAGAAAACGCGAACCAATCTGACCAAGTTTCTCAGTCAATTGTTTCATTCCTTTGTGCCACCTCTTGAACTGACCTCTTGGCGGTTTCAGCTAACTTGGTGCGACCCACGACACATAATACACACCGAGGAGGGCGGTCAACGGGCATACGGAGGACATGACCTGGACAACGTAGGCGGTGAGGATTCAGTAAGCACTCGAGTACTTATGTTAAACGCTTTTTCCCAAATGCATGAGTATGATAGTAGGGTAGAAGTTGATCCATCTTTCTGTGCACTAGACTTCGAAGCACCATGGGAAATATTTACACTTATGCGTACATCAACAGTTGGACACTCGGTAGCTGGTTTGTCAAATGCTGCGTTTCTCTTGTCTGCCGACGAAACGAAGCGATATCGTTTACCTACGGCCCCAAAACTTTTATTGCGGATAGACAGTTGAACTGATGAGGGGTGAAGCTTGGACATGGAAAACAAGAGTCAAAATGGGTTCAGCTCGGTGCCGAGTTAAATGGACAAAATCCACTTGACATAATTCAAGAGAACTTCAGTAAATCGGGGCCCCGTAGCCACATTATTAACACCATTTAAGCCGACAACCGTAGTGTTGTCTACGAATCTGCCCACTTCTGCAATGCATTGAGGTCTGCTATCAACAAGATCCACCCAGAAGCCACTGATAGTTTCATCTCTAACGTTGACACCACTGAGGAAGGGATAGGGAAATCGATCGGCTGCGGTCGGAGTGCACGATTTGGCAACGAGTCTGCAGTTAGTAAAGAGCTGGCAGAATGTGTCAGTGGGAAATACTAGTTCGCTCGGACCATTGAGACTGCAAGCGTCATTATTTTCCACACACACACACACGTGACGTGCGTGCTCCTGGTTCATTTTGATTATTCCTCGCTAACCTATCTCCATCTTCTCGCAGCGTTATCAATGTACGCTTATTCGAACCAGATTTACCAGCCCTACACAGCGATCCATCATACGTGGAAATATCTTCTATGATTAGAGTCCGTGCTATCATTAACCGTTTTCACTGGCATCCGTGATTGAGCGCAAGCAAATAACTCAATCACATTGAGCCGATTGCTTTTATGTGTGATACCATTCGATACAGAATCCTCGAGGCAGTCCGAAAAGCCTAAGCTTATTCCGATCCGGCGTTTCCCAACGCAGCTGCGAAAGAATTTGTGATCTCTCAATCTGTGTTCAGCGCTGTGTTCAGATCCAGTTAGCAGGTTCCAGTCACGCGCCATTCCTTGTGACCTTGTCAGCCAGTGCGCCCGCATAACCCATCACACGGACCGCGCGACCACGCCGACCTCTTGTTTGACCTTGCAACCACCACGCTCGCCTGATCGATGTGCGCCGCTCTCAAAACTGGAAAAGTACAGAACCCAGTGGGTCAGATAACGACACCAGGTAGAATGGCAGAAATGCGAATCCGAAAAGGCTCCAACCGAAAGGCAGTTGTGGGTTAGGAGAATGTTAGCGAGTAGTCAAAGTCGGTCTGGCTTGCTCGCATTGTTTAGAATGGTATCATCCGAAATGTGCAAACGTGTCCCAACAACAGGTACGAGAGCGAAATAGCTCCCAAGATACACTTTGGTTCTGTACTGCGTGCTCCACCATCCCACATGTTAAGTGCTTGCTTACCCTCGTTCAGAAGTGCGACCGGTTAACCGCAGAAGCCGAACAGAGGATAAACGAAAAGATTACTTCAGTGGAAGCGAGTAGGCGCCAGGGAAGCGTAGGGGCCTCTAAGCAACGGTATGTTATACAATCCGCTTCCCGTGAACGGCAATCAGCCACGTCCCCATCTCCGTTGTCCTTCCCCAACTTTGGAAGAATACCGGCTGAAAGCTGACCGTACCTACGAGAGTCGAACAGTACTCATGACAACAAAAATCAGGCAACACTCTAAACGTATGTTTGAGCAATTTCCACTAGACATGACAACTAGCATTAACAAGAATGAAGCAGCCGAACATCAAGCCTCGGTACCTGTAGCTCAAATGTCTCTTGTCGTGACAAAGTCCCAGGGAACATCAATCACATATGCAGAGATTGCTGCAAAGGTCCGCCGGGAGGCCGCTGTTGCGGCCTCTTCTGTTGTAAACACCATTAACGCGAATAGAAGGAAAACAGCAAACACGTGTCAGCAGGTCAGGACAAACGAGTATCATACCTCGTAGATCAACGAAAAAGGGATCCAACAATAGTATCCGGACGGTTGAATGCTCAAATTTGCCTGAATCTACCGCCATTACATTGCGGGATAAGTTATCGGACGACCAAAACCAATGGAACTCATTGTGCGTGTTGATGGGTGTCAAGGCCAATCCCCTAAACCTATTAAGAATTACTCGTCATCCAAACTCGCCACACTATGGAGAACCCAGACTTATTCGAGTAACACTAGAATCCTCCACCGATGTAGAAAACGTTTTGCTCTCTGCAAGCGCGCTAAGACACGGATCCAGTGGGATATGCATCTATCCTGATGTCCCTTAGAGCGCGCAACAATCAAAAAGAAACACCGAAGATGGACATAGCAAGCAAGACCGCCTAAAAACACAATCTTTGTACATGGCGTGCCAGAACCTCCTTCTAACGATGTTCAAGAGACCGGAAAGCACGATTTAGCACAGTGGCGGTAATTCGTGAAACACTTCCTTTGGGTAATATTGTAGCGCTTTTGCTCACCAGGATACCTCTCTAACCAAATTATAGTGGATGCGACTCCAAGATCCTAAACCTTGTGGTTCAGTCGGAGCAACAAGCCTTTTGGATCGATGACGCAGAAATCGGAATTTTTC